AATTTTTTTCTTTTGTGGCTTTTAGATTTATGTTCGCAATTTTTTGTCAGTAGAGAAAAATAACATTTTTTGTGATCAAGGTTGCTTTTGCCAGAGGTTATTTCTATCTGATCTGTGAAAAACAGTTTTAAGATGTCCTAAGAAGAGCGCTTGCAAAAGGAACTGTTCTCTTTGCGCTTGTGTATAACAGTCATTAACTGTAATTTTTTAATTAATTAAAAAGTTTCTCATCTAGCTTTCAAGCAATTTTTTGTAAGCGACCCTGTTGCTGGTTTCCTGTATTGTGCCATAATTTCTGTTTGTAGAAAAAAAAAAGGAAAGATTAAAATTAACTTCAGAAGAAGTCTCTGCCAAAAAAGTGGATAGTAATTTTAGGATTTTACAACAGCAGTGTTTCTTCTGCTAAGTAAACAAAAATTAAAACTGTCAAAATACTGCAGAACAAGAAAAAAAATATTGACTTAACAAAAGCATCAACATCTTCTTTTTATATTAACGGGGTTAAAAGAGTTCTATAGTTGCCATTTTTGTGGGTACTTTCTATTTGTGCCTGTGCCTTTAGGCGTTAAAATGGGGAGAACTTTAGAAAGATTTTAGATTCACACAAAAGAAACTCCTTGTTGTACTACACAAACACTGGAAATGACAGTTTGTGACGGGCAACAAGTCGTAAGAGTGCGCCGTTGTCGGGAAATGGTCTTTTTATTTTCAATACTAAGCAAAACTTAAGCTATACGTTTGTTTTGAGTTCATTCCATATACTGCTTAAAAATAAAGTTTTGTCACTAAACTACTGAGGCATTTTGGATAACTGCACTTAGACTTTTTAACATTAAGACAAGCTGTCGCCTTACTGCTTTTTTGGTAATAAAATTGAAACTAGGGTTGTGAGAAGTGACAGTGAAAAAACACACAAAATTTTGAGAAACTTTATGAAAGTTTATTAGATATACGGGAAAAAGGTGCATTACCATAAATGTAACTGACCCGAACTTTGCCAAATATTCCTCAAAAAAGTTATAAGTAACTCTAAGTAAAATTCTGTGACCAGTTCTGCGTTCCAAACTGCAAGTTTGGGAGGTTGCAGTCATATCTCAAACTCTAAGCGATAGCAACCGGTGCAATCTTCTGCATCCACCCTAGGAGAGCAAGGGCGAAAGTCAGTTCTTTTTTGGTGATAGATGAGCACAAAATTTGAAATTCGATCTATTTTTTTTTT